GGATATGGGATTATGGATGAGGGGGACATGAGGAAGTGGGGGTATGGTCAGGGGAATGTGGAAGAGGGGGATGTGAGGATGTGGGATGGGGGGACGCGGAGTTGGAGACATGGGATGGGGACTGAGGGACGTGGGAATATGGGATGTGGGGTTATGGGGACACGGGGACATGGAAATAGAGGTGTGGGTCATGGGGATATGTGATGTGGGGATATGGGACATGGGGACACGAGGACAGAGCTGAGCCATGACAACTGGCACTGTGCCCTGGGGGGAGAGCAGGGCACAGGTTGGGGACAGCTCTGTCACCGCTGTGTCCACTTTCGTCCCATGCCATCCTCTCTTGCCCCCACCCGTCCCCTTCTGTCCTCCATCCCATCCCTCTCCATCTCATCTTGTCCTGTCCCGGCCCCCTGTCCCACCTGAAGAACCCTTTGCACCCTTCACAGCTCATCACATGGAAGTGGTACCCGGTGGCGCGGTCCCCGCACACAGCGCACACCTTCGGCTCCTCCAGGTCCTCAGGGACATCGGTGACACTGGGACATCGCTGCACCCCAGGGCTGTCTGGATCTGAAGGGCTGGATAGGGACATGGCTGGGGACAGGGACAGGGCCATCAGTGGGAGGTGACACAAGAGGGCCAGTGCCATCTTGGGAGGGTGCCACCATGGATGGTGCCGCATCAGGGGATGTGGGTCTACAGGGGACAGTGCCACCAGGGGACAGTGCCATGGAGGTGGCGAGATCACGGATGGTGCCATCAGCGGTGGTGACACCAGGGCGAGTGCCAGCAGGGGACAGGACAGCCAACAGGGACAGTGCCATCAGGGATTGGTGCCACCAAGTGATGTGAGTCCACAAGGGACAGTGCCACCAGGGGACAGTGACACCACGGATGGTGCCGTAGGTGCACAAGGGGACGGTGTCATCTGAGGGTGGTGACATCAGGGGATGGGTCCACAAGGGACAGTGCCACCACCTATGGTACCATCAGGGGGTGGTGACACCATGCATGGTGCCACCAGAGCCGAGGGGACCGCTGTGGGGACAGCGCCTGCAGGTCGACATGTGACATTCCCATATTGTGACGCCTTTCCCTGCCCCAACACCATGTCCCCTCCTCGTCCCCTCAAAGCCACCTCGTCCCCCCAACCCCACAGACTGAGCCACGGGGAGAAGGAGCCCTCCAGTACCTGGGATGCTGTGCCCGATGTCACCGCTGTGGTTGTGTCCCCAAAGTCCCCAGTGTTGTGGGGCTGTCACCGCTCCACGTTCGTCCCCGATGTGGCCCCGTGGAGTTTGAACTTTGAACTTGAGCTGCGGAGAGGCGGGGATGGGTGGCACGTGGGGACAGGTGGGGACGTGGGTGGCACGTGGGGACGGGCAGGGGACGGCGCAGAATGGGGACAGGTGGAGGACAGTGGGAGGGAGGTAAGGGACAAAAAGGGGACAGGGATGGGACAAGCACAGGGGTAGGCAGACGTGGGGACAGGGGTGGGGGGAAGCAGGGGAGAGGCTTTAGGATCAAGGTATGGGGACAGGGGACATGCAGGGGGCAGGGATGGGGACAAAGTCATGCATGGGGGGGAGGGACCCCAAAGATGTAGGGCGGGTGGGACTCAGGGATGGGGGGGGGACAAAGCTGGGCTTCGCTCCTTTGGGTGTCCCTGGTGTCCCCCACGGGTTTGGGGTGCACTTTTGGGAGACCCCAATCCTCCCATTGGGGATTCTGGGTATTTTGAGTGCCCCATAAGTGTTTGGGGGCGCAGCTTTGGGTTATGGGGAGTTCCCAGCCCTGGGTAATGGCATTGGGGTGCCCAGTGCTACTTGGATGGCCCCAGTGCTACTGTAGGGTTTTGGGGTGCGCCTTTGGGTTCTCCTTGCCCTGTATTGGTGTTTTGGGGTTTGGTTGGATCACAAAGATCTCAAATTCTCATAGAGAATTATGGAACCATTGGGTTTTTGGGTTCAAGATGTTAAAAATGATAGATTGATGGAAAAGTTGGGTTGGGAAGGACCCAAAAGATGGCGGACGCATGGGATCAGAGCACAGTTGTGTTGTGAGGGATTTTAAAGACCACAGAGCCTGGAAAAATAAAATAGCTTTACTCTGCCCTGTAAAGTGTGATGGAGCCCTTTAGTGGGGAGGGGGGCTCAGCACCTCGCTGTCCTTCAGCTGATGATTTCGGAGAGCAGCGGCGTCATGCTGGAGAGGTCCTGGATGTGGAGGATCTGCCGTGTGTTCTCCATCTTCAGGGTCTGCAGCTCCGTCAGCAGCAGCAGGAGTTTGGCGTAGAGGAACCTGGGCCGGGGAGCACCTGCTGGGTGTCCCCGTGGTGTTGGGGGACACTTTGGGGACCAGGATTTCTTGTGGTGTTGGGGATGATCACATGGAGTTGGGGACCGTGAGTGGCATTGGGGACCACATGGGGTGTTGGGAATGACCACGTGGAGCTGGGGACCAGGTGGAGTTGGGGACCATGTGTGGCATTGGGGATGACCACGTGTGGAATTGGAATGAACAATAGAGTTGGGGACCACACGTGGTATTGAGGATGACCACGAGGCTTTGGGGACCACACGTGCCTTTGGGGACCATGTCTAATGTTGGGAATGCCCATGTGAAGTTGGGGACCATGCGTGGCACTGAGGATGACCACGTGTGGCGTTGGGGATCATGTGTGCTATTGGGGATGAGCCATGGAGTTGGAGACCACGTGTGGCATTGGGGACCACATGTGGTGTTGGGGGTGAGCACGTGGAGTTGGGGACCACGTGTGGCATTGGGGATGACCCATGGAGTTGGGTCTCACACGTGGCGTTGGGGATCACGTGATGGCCGTGGTGGCCATGGTGGCTACCTGCCCTCTGGCATGGGGTGCTGGTGGTCGATGTAGCTCTTGAGCGTGAGAGCCACCTTCTCCTGCAGCTGGTCAATGAAATCTCGCTGGGTGACGCTGGCGTGGTCTGGTGGAACAACGGGTGGCCATCAGCTGGTGGCCAAAGGGACAGCCCACCATGGCCACCACGTCCCCTACCTGGTGAGAAGAGCAGCATGGCCAGCAGCAGGACGTACTCAGCCTCGTGCAGCCGCAGCTTCTTCAGGTTGATGTGGAATTTGAGAGCTGGCTCCAGGTAGATCTGCTGGAAACCCACTTTGGAGAGTGGGAGGACTGATGAGCCGGGATGGGGACACAGCCATCCCCTCTGCCCCACCTCAATGCTCACCCAGAACTCCATCTTCGATGGTGAAGCTGTGCTGCCCGCACTCCCAGGCGTTGGTCTCCTCATTGAACACCATGTTGAACTGGATCTCACTGATCCCCAACGCGGCTCCCTTGAGCAGCGAGATCTGGTCTTCGATGGGCAGCCCTCTGCAGTGGGGCAAGATGTTGGGAGTGGAATGGGGCTGCGCTGGGGGATGGCATTGGGTTGGGGGATGGCATTGAGTTGGGGCATGGCACTGGGTTGGGTTTTGGCATCGCGTTGAGTTTTGGCATCACGTGGGGGTTGGCGTTGAGTTGGGGGATGGCACTGGGTTTGGGGATGGCATTGTGTTGAGTTATGTCACCCTGATGGCTTATGGCACCAAGTTGAGTTATGGCATCGTATTGGGTTATGGCATCGTGTTATGGCATTGGGTTTGGGGATGGCACTGGGTTGGGTTATGGCATTGAGTTGGGTTATGGCATTGGGTTTGGGGATGGCACTGGGTTTGGAGATGGCCGCCCCAGCACCATGCTCACCTGAACACTGGGATCTCCTTGGCGAATTTGATGATCTGCTGGATCATGAAGGTGCTGATGTCAGCAAAGAGGGGCAAGGCAGAGAAGACATCGGGCAGCACGTCCTCATCCAGACAGTTTAACTGTGGGGCCGGGGATGCTGAAGGGACACCCGATCTCGGTGGGCTCTGGGAGCACAGGTCAGGGATGCAGAGGCGCACGGCGGGCTGGGGGCAGAGATGAGGCATCAGCACCAGGCTGGAACCCAACACCAACACCGCCGTGGTTCCCAGCTCACCTGGTAGTGCTGGAACTGGGAGAAGCTGGAGTCGAAGGTGCGTTTGTGAGCGGCGATGAGGATGCTGATGAGCTCCTGCTGCTCCTCCGTCAGCCCCCCAGGCTGTGCCTTTGCCAACCTCCGCTGCAGCCTCAGTGCCCGGCGGCGGCCCACGGCCTCCTCTGACATGATCACTGTGCCCCACACGTGTCAGCATCACCAGGCATGGCACCAAGCACGGCACCGGGTGCATGGAGCCGCTGGGGCACCGCCGTCCCTCCCACGTCTCACCCTGTGACTTCAGGTTGCACCCCTGCCATCCCACCTGGGATGGTCCTCCATGGCCCTTCTGGGTCCCCATGGTGTCCCTTCTCCCTTCTGAGCAGCAGAGTCCCCCAAACTCCCTCCATACGTCCACCGTTGTCCCATTTAGGTCCGCCCAATGTCCTTTGTCCCATTGGGGTCTTCCGAATGTCCTCTCTGGCTCCTCTCAATGGGACAAAGGTCCCATCTAGATCCCCCGTTGCGCCATCTAAGTCCCCTGAATTCCCTGTCTATGTCTCCTGTTGTCCCATCCATGCGCCATCTCAGCCCCCCAGTGCCCCATCCCAGTCCCCCATCATCCCTTCCACCCTCACATCCCCCATTCCCCCTCCATTCCCTCTTCACCCACATTCCTTCCCATCCCCTCTCTGTCAAAGCCCCTTTCTCCCACCCCAGCGTCTCCTCTTGTCCCTCCCCACCACTTCCCTCCTTCCCCCACCCGTGCCCCCATGCTGGCACTCACTGTCCTTCCTCATCCCCACGTCGAGGCACTTCTGGAGGCGGCACGCCTGGCATTGCCGGCGCTTGGCCTTGGTTATGGGGCAGCTCTGGGAGAAGGGGCAGGTGTAGTGCACAGCCTTAAGGATTGAGCGCCTGGGGGTCACAGGGATATGGGGTTATGGGTAAGGGGGACGTGAGGACATGGGGGTATGGGTCAGGGGGATGGAGGGATGTGGGACAGGGGGACGTGAGGATGTGGAGATGGGGATGTGGGATGGGGGGGCGCGGAGTTGGAGACATGGGATGGGGACTGAGGGACGTGGGAATATGGGATATGGGGACATGGAGATGTGGGTCATGGGGATAGGTGATGTAGGGGTATGGGATATGGGGATATGGGACATGGGGACACGGGGACAGAGCTGAGCCATGACAACTGGCACTGTGCCCTGAGGGGAGGAGAGCAGGGCTCAGGTTGGGGACAGCTCTGTCACCGCTGTGTCCGCTTTCGTCCCATGCCATCCTCCCTTGCCCCCACCTGTCCCCTTCTGTCCTCCATCACACTCCTCTCCATCCCATCTTGTCCTGTCCCAGCCCCCTGTCCCACCTGAAGAACCCTTTGCACCCTTCACAGCTCATCACATGGAAGTGGTACCCGGTGGCGCGGTCCCCGCACACAGCGCACACCTTCGGCTCCTCCAGGTCCTCGGGGACATCGGTGACATTGGGACAGCGCTGCTCCCTGGGGCTGTCCAGGTCTGAGGAGCTGGATAGGGACATGGCTGGGGACAGGGACAGGGCCATCAGTGGGGGGTGACACCAGAGGATGGGTCCAAAAGGGACAGTGCCACCATGGATGGTGGCACCAAGGGACGGTGCCATCAGAGGGTGGTGACACCTTGGAGGGTGCCACCATGGCTTGTGACACCAGGGGATGGTGCCACCATGGATGGTGCCACCAGGGGTTGTGTGTCCACGAGAGACAGTGCCATCATGGATGGTGCCATCAGGGGGTGGTGACACCAGCAGTGGTGCCACCAGGGGACAGTGCCACCATGGATGGTGCAAGCATGGATGGATCCAACAGGGACAGTGCCATCATGGGGTGGTGACACTAGGGGATGTGGGTCCATAAGAGACAGTGCCAACAGGGCCAGTGCCATCAGTGGGTGGTGCCACAAGAGGACAGTGCCACCACGGGGGTGGTGACACCAGCTATGGTGCCAACAGGGGACAGTGTCATCAGAGGGTAGCGAGACCAGGGAATGGGGTTCACAAAGGACAGTGCCACCATGGCTGGTGCCATCAGGGGATGCTGATACCACAAACAGTGCCACCTGGGGGTGGTGCCACCAGGGGATGGGCCCATCAGCGATGGTGCCACCAGGGGACCACTGTGGGGACAGTGCCTGGAGGACGACGTGTGACATTCCCATGTTGTGACGCCTGGCTCTGCCCCAACATCGTGTCCCCTCAAAGCCACCTCGTCCCCCCAGCCCCACAGACTGAGCCACGGGGAGAAGGAGCCCTCCGGTACCTGGGATGCTGTGCCCGATGTCACCGCTGTGGTTGTGTCCCCAAAGTCCCCAGTGTTGTGGGGTTGTCACCTCTCCACGTTCGTCCCCGATGTGGCCCCGTGGAGTTTGAACTTTGAACTTGAGCTGCGGAGAGGCGGGGATGGGTGGCACGTGGGGACAGGTGGGGACATGGGTGGCACGTGGGGATGGGTGGGGATGGGTGGCACGTGGGGGACGGCAGGGGATGGCGCAGAATGGGGACAGGTGAGGGACAGTGGGAGGGAGGTAAGGGACAAAAAGGGGACAGGGATGGGACAAGCACAGGGATAAGCAGACGTGGGGACAGGGGTGGGGGGAAGCAGGGGAGAGGCTTTAGGATCAAGGTATGGGGAC